TAAAAATCTCAAGTATCCCAAAACCTCCTTAAATTCTTGTGTCCTTAAAATTCTTGTTGGGTCACTACTCATCAGAACAATCATGGCAAAAGCATACATTGATCTTGGGTTTCCTTCTTGAGCAGCCATACGTACCATCTCCAACCCCTTCTTGTAAAGCTCCAAGTCACTGAAGTATAATTCTATGCCGTGTCTGTCTAGAGATTCTAAATTACCACAGGATCTACAATGACATAAGAATGATGCTTCATGTGGGATTTCTTAGAATCGAAAGACTTTATCCAAAGAAGCATGCCTGTATACACATTTGTCACTTGTGATGTTCATTATCTATTTGGAAGTCAATTTCCGGTGGCAAAGATCACGAGTGATTGGAATGCAACTTTTGAAGTAATGTCCACAAATACATCTATTGGCAAACAAGTCATGCTCTTATAACTTTCTTTACAAGCAATGGTTTTAATCTTTTTGAGTGGTCGTGGATCAGCCATGGTAGTTGAAATTGCAATCCAGCTGCACCATATAAGTAATGTATAAATGATCATGACAACACTTAATATTTGAATCTAAATATGGTAACTTGATAGCTTCTTAAGGAAAAAGTTTTGGAGAGCGAGAAACAAGAACACGCATCAGAACCAAACTAAAACATTAAATTTACAGAAAGAATATTTTGTAAAGAAAGTAGCTGATGACAAAGATGCTTTAATGATTTTTATAATCGTCAATTCTTTCGGACTAGTTTTGTGCAACAATGGGAACGTGTCAGTAGGGGTGGAAATAGGCCAGGCGGCCTGTCAGGGGCCTGTGGCCTGGCCTATAAAGGGCCTGGCCTGGCTTGGCCTATTTAGGTATCAGATCAGGCTCAGGTCTGTAAAAAAGCCTGTTTATTTTATTAGGCCAGGCTCAGGCCTGATAGTGAGCCTGTTAGGCCTGTCAAGCGGCCTGGGCCTTTTTTTTTTTTTTTTTTGAGGTTAAAATTACAAATTGATAGGAGGGAATATGCTATTCTGATTGGTTAATTGAGAAAACTCCATTCACATAAATGTGTTATCTAGAGCCTATTGCATGCTTCATTTCATTTCCATTCTTTATAATAAAAATAATTTATGTATGTATAATGACACATATTTGAACAGAGAAAGAAAACATAAGTGTATTAAAAAAATAAAATAAAAGCATCATTCATTTATTTGATCAATGCTTTTCATATTAATCTTATATAGAATATATATATAATTGACCTATTATGTTTTAGACCGTATATATGTGTACTCAATCTAATTCTTATTATAACAGTTACTTAATTAATTTAAATAAATAAATAAACTATAATAATTGTAATATTTTTTTTTAAAACAACCATGTATAACAACAGAATCAAATATCATTTTATTAGTAAATTAGTTTGAACAAATGATAAATTTAAAATATAAAAGGGATTAAGAATGTTTCATATTTTAAACTAGATCTAGTCATCAACTAATTTTTATACTAGATATGGGATGAAGTGATATTTTTATATCAGAGTGAAATTATGTTTTCTAATAATTTTTCATATTAGATTTTTTTTGGACCTAAGAGGACATGTTTTACAAATTGTGTTAATTTGATAATTTCTTTTTTTTTTTGTATTTTAGATCAATTAGGTTGAATTATTGTAATTTTGAATTGATTTATGTGTATTTAAAATTTGTTAAAAAAACAGGCCTCTTAACAGGCCACAGGCCAGGCTCAGGCCGATTAAAAAGGCTTTTCATAGGCCGCAGGCCAGGTTCAGGCCAACAGGCCTCACCACAGGCCAGGCCTGTTAAGGATGAGGCCTGGCCTGGCCTGGCCTGTTTTCACCTCTACGTGTCAGCATATAAGTTTGAATCAGCAGATCTTGATGAGTCTTGCCTTATGATATTAGAACTTGTTTATGCTGTTCATGGTGCAACTCTTATAATATTCAGCTTCCTACACAGCTAGCCGCGTTGTAATATTACATTTTGTACATATGAATTGTTTGATTATCCACAAAAAAAAAAATTATATACGAAATATCTCAAAATAGCATCCAAAAATGTGTGGCTTGCCTGTGCCTTATTAGAAGCCTCTTAATTGAAGGATGCAACACTGTTAGAAACTTGGATCACTCTATAAGATGTATGGGTCTCTCTCTCTCTCTCTCTCTGTGTGTGTATATATATAGCTATAGGAAGGGATAAATCATATATCTACATATCTATTTACCTATATAGATCTCAAGACAATAGATATGATATGATATATTGAGAAGGAAAAAATTAACCTGAAAAGAGATATAAATAATTATAAAAATGAAAAATGAAAAGTACTCCTCCGGTCCTAAATATAAAGCCCCTTTGTAGTGTAATTTACACTATAAAAGGGGCTTTATATTTAGGACCGAAGGAGTATAATATACTAAAAGTAGCCAATTATTTCTTAATGGGATGGGTGAATTCACTATTATTTCAGTGAATTGATATTCATTTATCTAGATTTATTTTTTTAAATCTGGTAATTATTTTAATAAATTTATCAGTTGATTATAAATAGTAGGATTTGTTGGCCAAAAAAAAATGTAGCATTTTTCAAAAGAAAAGAAAAAAACTTAGACTGAGGAATTGGTTGATGTGAGGCAAACTTATATTGGTCCTAATATTTGTACCTCTGATAAATTATCCTCATTGTATATTTAGATTTAAAAATTTACTTATTTTTTATTTAAAATTTTATGACGTTACAAAATATAAATATATTTCGTACTGAGCAACCAATAATAGTAGCTATAAGATTTAATAGCATTTAAATTTTTTTTGGGGTCAATAATAGCATTTAAATTGTCTCCTAAGAAGTTATACTATTTTAACTCGATTTAGATTAGTCAAATTAAAACGAGGTATGATTATCTAAAACTAGATGGCATAAAAGGGAAAACAAATCAGAGTGAGTCAATATGATTAATTTTATAAAGTTCGCATTCAGTACGAATCAACGAAACATCTTTGTTCAATAAACATTTTCCTTTTTTATTTTTAATTTTATTTTTGTAAATTATTATTTATTTAATTTTTTTTGTCATGTCGAAAGGTTTATTTAAGAAATTTTATTTTTGTAAAATTTGTACCAAAATTTTTAACTATTAGATTGACACATTTTAACAGTTCAAATTTCAATTTTTAAAAAACTTATTTATAGTAATAAAAAAACTTACTTATACAAAAAGTTTAAAAAATATTTAGTGCATTTGTAAATTGGTGAAATTAAATTTTATTAGTTCGTATTATATTATTTATTTCACTAATTTCACATTTTAATAATAATTTAAAAAAGATTTAAATCTCAGCTGTTGAAATATTAATCTAAAAGTTTGGGGGAAAAAGAAAAAGGAAAGAGGAGTGGCTACTAGCTGCTCTCCCCGGACACAGTGAAGATGGTGAATAGGCTCAGTTAGAGCACCTCTTATTAGTTGTAGGATAGTTCTGATGGACATACAAAACTTGCTTTCTGAATTTTGCGCAGTTTTTTTTGTTTATACTTAATGTAAGATTCTTAATATAAAATTTTGTGTAAAGCAAAGATTTGTACACCATTTTGATATTCTTATTTTTGGGTCATATTCCCATATTGATTGTAGGATTTGTTGTCATATTGGTTGTAATATTAAGTGTTTTTCTACACACACACATATTTGTTGTTATATATATGTTGTACTAATTCTGATATATAACAGCAGGCATGGGATTAATATATGATTTTGTTTTCAAAAATATCAATTACGACATCATGTTAAAAAAAGAACTGATACCTTAATTGATCGGCGACAGTTCCTTTTTAACTGATGTTGTAATTTTTATTTTCGGTTACTGTTATTTCTGCTACACCTCGTATGGAGTAGTGAAAATGTATTTTTAATTGACACCAAATATACTATTTTGCAGTAGTAGTGAAATGCCTTGAAATTTTTTTTTTTCCCAGGTATGTTCAGTATTCTAAAATATTTTGTGATGTATTAAGCACTATTATTTATTCATATTTGAACCCAAGGTCAATAGGATTTATATTGGGACTAATCCACCTAGTCCACCAACGGTGGATTAGTAAGGTCCAATGGTAAGAGTATAATCTCAAAGGTTATCATCTCCTGAATTTTTCATTGTATGACGCAGCCCATATTGTTGTGCTAAGTCAATCTAATTTCAATCTTATGCGTCTTTGAGCGTCATATTATTTATATTCCCTCCTATCTTTATTATAAGAAGGACTTTAATATATTTCATAATATAACATGTTTTATCCGAAATATGGTACAATAAAATTACCTGGTAATTTCTTGAGAGCAAAAAAAAAGAATGTGACAATGTGACATGATTGACTTGGAATATAGCAACATAAATAGTGTACTCGTGAGAATTATTGAAAAATTACAGATTTTTTATTTTAATATTATAATAAATGATAAAGATGCAATCAGTTATTTATAAGTAATTATACATAAACGCGCTATAGTATTTTAAATAATAAATCATAAGAATACAATGAATCATATATATATATATATATATATTACACTTCCAGATTATTCTGAGAGAATGCGGAGACTAGAGACAGTTTAGTATTTATCATTTATATCTATAATTTGATTTTTAATCCTTCTCAATAATTAGCGTTTTACGATTCTTTCCGTAAATATTATTCCCTTCAAGTCCTTCCCTCTAACTTTCCTTAAATAAAAGTCGTCGACTAACTTAGTTTGATCACTCAAATTTGAAATCATTCAAACCTGACAAGTGCTTTAACTTTAATAAATTAAATTTACTTGTCATATATACCGTGCTAGCTGATTGCAGATCAGCAAAAATAATCAACTAACTAAAAACTATCATTATACATAAAAAGGCAACTAGTAGAAACAATAAATATAGTGTATTACAACAAATGATAAAATTGAAACCAATAAAAAGTTCTACAAAAAACCAACACACGTATAAAAGCTATATCATAGTGCAAAAGTCTTCCACTTCATGATCCCATCTGCAATTTTCACGCATGTTTGGATCATTCTCATCGTCATCTTCAGTCATGAAGCACCAGCTTCCAACTTTGAGTTTCCATGTATTTGTGCATGGAACATTATTGCATAGACGCTCTCCTACTGCTATCACAAGATCAGAACGCATATTATTCCACCTCAAACAACGAACAAATTTTGCAACATCATTCCTACATCGAAGTACACATTTCTGGTTCCTTAAAAATCTGAGGTATCCCAAAGCCTCCCCAAATTCTCCTAAAGATCCTATTCTTATTGTGTCTCTGCTCATTAGAACAATCATGGCAAAGGCATACATTGCTGTTTTGTGTCCTTTTTGAGCAACCATACGTACCATATATAATCCCATTTCATAAAGCTCCAAGTTAGTGAAGTATAGTTCCATGCCTTCTCTATAGAGAGATTCCAAGTTACCGCTTGATCTACAACGACTTAAAAATGAAGCTTCTTGTGGGATTTCTTGGAATCGGAAGAAGGGGATTGCATCCAAAAAAGCATGCTTGTACACATCGTCATCATTTGTTATATTGAGCAATTCTTTAGAAGTCATTTTAAGGTGACAAAGGTCAGTGAGTGATTGAGATGCAACTTTTAAACTAATGTCCAACAATATCTCCGTTGGCAAGCCAAGACTCATGCTCTTATTAGAAGTTTCCTCATCGCAAGTAGTGGTTTTAATTCTTTTAAGTGGTCGTAAATCAGCCATGGCCATTGGATTGCAATCTAGCTGTAGCATACAAAATTATATGTCAAAAATGTTAAAAGAAAAATGGAAAATATAAAAACTAAATAATATATGAATGATTATAATAAAACATAATATTTGAATTTGAATAACATGATGATCGTTCAAGAGGGTGAGACACAAGAACACACATAAACTTGATTTCTTATCAGTAACTGTTTTATTACCCAATTATGAGTACTTGTACCTATATTTAGAGATGTGCAATAAAAACAAAACATCAAACGTTTTGGAATAATTTAGTTCTCAGCATATAATACAAGTTTGAATCAGCAAATAGTATGGTTTAGTGTATAATACTAGTAATTGACACGGATGAATCATACAGCAGGGTCGATCGTATGGTTAGTTCTTTTACAGCGGCAAATAGATTAATATATCTATTGGATGATGTTAGGATTCTAATATATGATTTTTCAGAACTTGTAAATATGAATTGCTCAGTTATCAAAAAGGAAAAAGGTAAACGGATATACCAAAAATCTTAAAATAGCATCCAAAACTATATGCCTTGCCTTGCAAGCCTCCTTTGCAACTCTGGTTGTGTTCTCTGAGAAACTAGGAGAGCACATAAGAAGAGCTTGGGGTCTATTTATATGTATTTGTCAAAGAAAGGAATGAGACAATAGATAAGATATGATATATTAGGAAGGGATAAATCTAAATAACATGATAAAAAATTAAATCTAAATAGATATGCATCTTTGTCATATCAACTAATAACGGAGTAGATAGCATTAATTACATTAATAAATAACAAAGCAAATATAATTTATTTAAAAAATAAATAATTATAAAATGAAAATAGGAAATGTGGTACATTGAAAGTACAGGATAGTTTCTTGAGAGCAAAAGAATAGAAAAGAAGAAAAACGTGTTAACAAAAAAGAAAAGAAAAAAAAAGAACGTTATTGTTAACTTGGAAGATTCTTTTGGGGGGGGGGGGATTGATTATTTTGGTGACTTGATAGTCAAGGTCTGACATATATATTTTAAAAAAGTGATCAATTGATGAAAATTGATAATTAATTAGGGAAATTTATTAATTGATGGAGTTCATGCATATCAGACGTCATTCATTCAGAGATTTTTTTTTATAAAAAAATCTGGTAATTATTTGATTGTGTCCGTAAATTTGTTCAGTGTTGTTCTGAGTTTTTGGCACGCGTCATTAAAAAAATTATTTGATAACAGTCGCATTTGGTTGTTTTTGAAGAAAAATAATAATAATTTTATCTGATATTTAAAATATTTTGACTGATAAGGGTATAAATGAGATAATACTCCAAAAAGATTATATCTTGTAGATGAGACGAATTATCCTCATATATTTCTACTTTTGAAAAACTATACTCATTCAATATTTAAATTTAAATTTAAATTATTTATTATTTCCGTTTACATTAGGTGATAAAATATATTTTGTATTGAGCAATCAACACTATTAAAATTTAATATTATTTAAAGTGAACTCTTTTATAAGAAGTTAAAGTGATACCATATATTCTAACTCAAAACAAGATATGGTTAATATGATTAATTTTCATAAAGTGTGCCCTCAGTACAAATAAAAGAAACGTTTTTGTTTCATAAACTAAAATCTTAAAAACATAAAAACTAAAATTTATGATTCAGTACTTTGCTCCCTCTTCTTTTAATATAAAAAAAGTCAATTTATTAAACTAATAAAAAGATACCATATTGGAAGCCTAAAGTCTAAAAATATTAATAACTTTGTGCTTCGATAACACACTTGTAATAGGTCTTTGAATATTATAATACAACCCTTAAAAATTAACATTTTCATTTTGCAGTTAATGGTTAATATGTTTTAATTATAAATTAACAAATTTCTATCAGGATGGAGCTATCACGATTAAGAGAGAAAAAATTAATATCAAAACTAACTCGTCGTTGCCTCGTTGTTCAATTTTCCAACTTTGGAATGGTAAACGCTAAGTTTTCTTCATTCACAACTTTTAAGTGACACAAAAACAATAGAAAATACTCATCTTTCTACGTTTCTAATAAAAAGGGCATTAAAATTATTTTATAAAATTTTAAAATATATCTTTGGGTCTTGTGACATGTTTATATCTTTGACAAATGATAATTTTGTCAAAATGCTACACAAAGTAAAATAAATTACTAAAATATTATACTACGAAAACTATTTTCCAAAACACCATATATTCAAACTTGTTCAGTAGAAGAATGAGTTTGAATTTTTAAGAAAGTTGTGTAGCAAAAAAACGAGTTTCATGGCTGACAAATTTTTTTAACAAAATTGAGAGTTGTTCAGTGCTCAAGAGGGTTTAACCTCTCAAAGCACACTGCCACTTCCACTTCCACTTCCCGGTGCATCTTCTTTTCCGTTTTTATTTCAGCAGAAATTACCCATTCGATCAGCTCACGTCCTCTTCTTTCTTTCTTAGACTTTGGACAGAGTTGCAATAATGACCCCACTCCTTCCCGTCTACTTATTCCATTTTCCCTTCCCTGGCCTTCATTCCATATTTCCAACAAAATTGAAAGAACATGACTAGATTTCATATTCTACAAGATATAATGAATATGAGTGAATTGTACTTTTTATCCTAATAATTAAATTTAAGGAAAAATATATAAAATAAATTTAATGAATATAAATTATTTATAAATTTAATATGATATATTTAAGATGAAAATTTGGATTATTTAAATATCTATTTAAGAAATTTTTTCAATATTTTTTAACATTGAGAAGATGAAAAATGAAATGAGACAAACTTCTCACGATGAACAGAAAAAGATGAGCGAAAAAAATTTCATTTAAATTTTTATCTATGTTTAATGTCTATATGCATGAAAAATATTAAGAATAATTTAAATATATTACTTAAAGAAAAGACGATGAAAATTTTATTAAAATCCCTCATCATTGCTATTCTCACTGCCCAAGCACATTCAATCTGTCAATCATATTGATTTACAAAAAAAATGTAATTAACATAATATAATTTTGTTTTTCTCTTTCGAAAGAGGGAGCGAAATGAAAAGAAGAAAAAGGGGTAAAAAAGGAGGGAGCAGAATATCTACTCCAAGCAGGGTCTGATTTGGTAGCGTTATAGCTAGTTCCAACGGTTCGCAACCTCTCCTTTTTTTTTTTTTTTCCTGTCCTCTTTCCTCCTCTTCCTTTTTTAAATGTTAGATTAATATATTTCAACTATTTAGATTTTAATTTTTATAAACTATTTATAAAAAATTTTAAAAATATTTAGTGCTCTTGCAAACCATTAAAATTAAATTTTAATATAGTTTGTAATTTATTATTTATTTTTATAATTTAATATTTTAATAATAGTTTCAAAAAGATTAAAATCTAAACCATTAAAATATTAATCTAATATTTTAAAAAGGAAAAGAATGGAAGAAGATGGGAAGGGGAGAGGAGAAGTTCTGAATTGCTTGTTCCAGATGGGACTCAAACTTTGGCAGTCTTTGAAATGTTAATCATTTATTGGGCTTATTGGTTGAAGATTCATATTTTAATTGTTTCGATGTCTATGGTTTGTTATTGTAAATTTAAATTTAAAACATTTTTAACTATGAAATAGAACATGTTAGTTTTAAATGTCATAAGTGAATCTAACTTTCAATTTTATATCTCCTATAGTATCACATTATTTATATTCCATGTGATCCTTAATATATATAAGAGCCTCTCCCCTCGACAATATTGTTAAAGTACTCATGAGCAAGCTCATACATAAATCTGATTGTAAACTCCCACCATAAACTCATAAGAGTTTACTTTTTTATTCATAAGTTTCCATTAAAAGTATATAATTAAATAATTAAAATATGAAAAAATAAGAATTTTATTTAAATATATTTCAATTTTAAATAATTGAAATTGAGTCCATCAATGCTCACAGTTTACTTATTTTTTATTTCCAGTTATATTAGGCGATAAAACATACTACCTCCAATCTTTAATATAAAAACTACATAACTATTTTAAAAATATTTAAAAAAATTAGTTAAACTAGTTTTTTGTAACAAATATGTGTTGACTTTATTAAATTACACTTATTCAATAATGCATATTAGAAATACATTTGGGTGGAAATATCTTACAATCAATAGGGATATTCTTGATAACACATTATAAATTTGCGAGATAAAATAGATTAGAGTCTTATATTTAATACTGCCAACTAATTCTAATATTTAGGATTGAAGGTAGTGTTTTCACTATTTTGTATTGAGCAATCAACAGCATTAAAATTTAGAGTAAAATACTCTAACGTCCCTTATATTTTGTCTTAATTACACAGACCTCCTCTCTATTTTGAAAATATACACTTAAATTCAAACTGTTAACTCCGTTAAGAATATTTCAAAAAGATATTTTTTAATTCAAATTTATCTTGAAATACTTTCTATTTACTAAATTACCCTTTATAATACTAAATGCCAAAATCTTGGTTAAAACTATATCAAAGAATTTAAGATTTTCTCCTTTACCTTAATTTTATTTTTTTTATTTTTAAAAACTGTTTGTTTAATGTTTTTATCTTGTTGGGCCAAAAAATTAAATAATTTAGTTAATATAAACATAAATTAAATGATTTATATAAATTTCCAAACTTTTACAATTTATATTATGTGATAAGGAAATAAGCATTCAAAATATTTTCTAGCCATTTAAAAAAAATCTTAAGTCTCAATATTTCATGAGGAACTAAAATTATATAATTCTATAATATAATTGAAATTAAAATTTTTATAACATATTAAAAATTTTGAAAATACACGTATTATAATTATTTTTTGTTGTATCAAAAATTATTTTTTTATAAATATAAATGTTTAAATAATATTTATGTTAAAGAGGGATATTTTGGTCAAAATAAAAATCTAAAAGCCAAACTTAACGGTTGGATAGATGGAAATTGAATCTTAAAAATATAAGGAAGGTTTGTGTAACATATATTTTAATTTGAAGGGAAGTTTATATATGTTTTCAAAATAGAAGGGAAGTTTTTGTAATTTAAGTAAAATAGAAGGGTAGTTAATGTATTTTACTCTAAAATTTAATATTCCTCATGTCCTAAACATAAGACCCATTTTGTAGTATAATTTACACTATAAAATGGGTTTGAGTATTATTTAAAGCAAACTCTTTTAGGACGGTTCAATATGATTAATTTTCATAAAGTGTGCGCTCAGTACGAATAAAAGAAACATTTCTGTTTCTAAAACAAAACAACCGTGCCGTTTATCACCCCAAAAAAACAAAAAAACATACCGTAAAAATTTCAACCTACGTAAGTGTATGTTTCTATTTTTTTTATTTTTTTTCCATTATTTAGATTTAAGAATCCTATAACCATCAAATTATAAATATAACATTCTTGGAACAAAATGCAGCACACCCCATAACAAATGTGACAAAATCAGAACCAACAAAAATGTTAAATGCGGAGACTAGAGACAATTTAATATTTAATTCTTTCCGTAAATATTATTCCCTTCAAGTCTTTCTCTCCAATTTTCCTTGAATTAATTAAATAAAAGTCGTTGACTAAATTAGATTGGGCACTCAGATTTGAAATCAATCGAACCTGACAAGTGGTTTAACTTAAAAAAAAAAAAAAATTACTTGTGACATATACCGCGCTAGCTGATTCCAGATCAGGGGAAAAAAACAACATACTTTAAAAACTGTAATTATATGCATAAAAAATGGGCAACTGTTTACAATAAATAGAATGTACTATAACATATGACAAGATTGGAACCAACAAAAAGTTAAATCATGTCTCTGAAAAAGAAAAAAAACAACACACCCATAAGAGTTATATCATAGTGCAAAATTCTTCTACTTCATGATCCCATCTGCAATTTTCACACATGTTTGGATCATTCTCATCATCATCTTCAGTCATGAAGCACCAACTTCCAACTTTGAGTCCCCAAGTATTTGTGCATGGAACATTATTACATAGACGCTCTCTTGCTTGCATCGCAAGATCAGGACGCATATTATTCCACCTCAAACAACGAACAAATTTCGCAACATCATTTCTACACTGAAGCGCACACTTCTGATTCCTTAAAAATCTCAGATATCGCAAAGCCTTCTGAAATTCTTGGATCCCTAAAAATCCCATTCTTATTGTATCACTGCTCATTAGAACAACCATGGCAAAGGCGTACATTGATCTTTTGTGTCCTTTTCGAGCAGCTATATGTATCTTATCCAATCCCTTCTCATAAAACTCCAAGTTAGTGAAGTATACTTCCATGCCTTCTCTATAGAGAGATTCTAAGTTACCGCTTGATTTGCAACGGTTTAAGAATGAAGCTTCTCGTGGGATTTCTTGGAATCGGAAGAAAGGGACTGTATCCAAAGAAGCATGCTTGTACACGTTGTCGTCATTTGTTATATTGAAAATTTCTTTGGAAGTCATTTTAAGGGGACCAAGGTCAGTGAGTGATTGAGATGCAACTTTTCAAGTAATGTCCAACAATATCTCGGTTGGCCAGCCACGAGTCATGCTGTTATTAGAAGTTTCCTCATCACAAGTAGTGGTTTTAGTTCTTTTAAGTGGTCATTGGAATTGCAGTCTAGCTGCAGCATAAAATTAAAATTATATTCCAAAAATATTAAAAAAAGGGGAAAATAAAAAACTCAATAATATATAAATGACTGTAATAAAACATAATCTTTGAATTTGAATAACATGAAGATCGTTGGAGAGGGAGAGACGCAAGAACACACATAAACTTGATTTCTTGTTAGTACCTATTTTATTACCAAATTAAGTGAACCAGTACAGATGCCTAGAGATGTGCATTATAAGCAAAGTATCAAACGTTTTGGAACGATAGGTAGGTCTCAGCACGTAACAGATACGGATGAATCAAACACCAAGGTCATATGACTACTTTTTTACAGCGACAGATTAATATATCTATGAGATGATATTAGCATTCTAACTAATATATTGTTTTTCAGAACTTGTATATATGAGTTGTCCGGTTATACTGGGGGGGGGGGACAGATAAACATGATATACCAAAATCTCAATATAGCATCCAAAAAAAAAAAAAAAAGCCACATGCCTTACCTGTGCCTTAGGAGCCTCCTCTGCAACGTTGGTTAATTGTGTTCTCTGAGAAACAATTTGAGAGCACATAAGAAGAGGTTGAGCTCTATTTATATGTATTTGCTCAAAAAAAGGGATGAGACAATAGATAAGATCTATAATATATTAGAAAGGGATAAATCCAAATAGGATGACAAAAAAATTAGATGTAAATAGATATGCATCTTTCTCCTATGAAGTAATAACTAAGTGGATATGATACATTGATTACATTGATAAAAAAACAAAATATAATTTATTTAAAAAAGTAATTATGATTCTAAAAATAAAAATAGAAAAATAGGAAATGTAGTACATTGAGAAAAGAACGTTATTCGATAAAAAAACAAAAAGAAGAAGAAAAGAACGTTACTGTTGACTTGGAAGATGAGGGGGGAATTGGTTATTTTAGTAACTTTTTTTTTTTGGCCAAAAGTTATTTTAGTAACTTGATAATCGAGTTTTGACATATGTATTTTCAAGAAAAGCGATCAATTGATAAAAATTGATAATTAATTACAGAAATTTAATTGACTGAGTTCATGTATACTAGAAGTCATTTATTTAGAGATTTTTAAAATATGGTAATTATTTGATTGTGTTAGTAAATTTGTTCAGTGTTGTTCTGAGTTTTTGGCACACATCATTGAAAAATTATTTGTTAACAATCACATTTGTTTGTTTTTGAATAAAAATAATAATTATTTTATCTCATATTTAGAAATTAGAATATTTTGATTGATAAGGGTATAGATGAGATAATACTCTAAAAATATTATATCTGGTAGATGAGACAAATTATACTTATATATTCGTATTTTTGAAAACTTATACTCATTCGATATTTATATTTAAATTTTAACTTATTTTTTATTTCCAGTTACATTGGGTGATAAAATATATTTTGTATTGAGCAATCAACACTATTGAAATTTAATATTATTTAAAGTAATCTCTTTTGTAAGAAGTTAAAGTGATGCCAAATATTCTAACTCAGAACAAGATATGGTTATCTGAAACCGGTCGGTAACATTTTTTCAAAAACAAAATGAGAACGGGTCAACATAATTAATTTTCATAAAGTGTGCGGTCAGTACAAATAAAAGAAACATTTTTTATTTCATAAACCAAAATCTTAAAAAAAATTAAAACTAAAATTTGTGACTAAGTATTTTGCTTCCTCTTTCGAAAAAGAAAAAAAAAGACTTATATTATGTTAATTACATTTTTTAATTAAATTAATATGATGGAATGTGCTTGGGCATTCAGAATATCAATAATGAGGGATTTTAATAAAAGTTTCACGGCCTTTCTTTAACTAATATATTTAAATTATTCTTAATATTTTTATGCATATAGAAATTAAATACAAATAAAAATTTAAATGAAGCATTTTTTTTCACTCATCTTTTTCTGTTCATCATGAGAAGTTTGTCTCATTTCATTTTTATCTTGTAAATGAACTGTGGATACAAAGCACTGCGCATTAAGTGAGGCAAATCCAAAAATTTTACGGGGCATGATTTAATTTGGATTAGAGGCGTATGATTCCAAAATCTTGATTTAATTTTTTGGTTCCTTCTTCTGCCAAGTGCCATTACTTTACAATAAAAAGAAAAACTTACATTATATTAATATTAACAAACATACTATAAAGCGTATAACAAATTAGTTCCCTATTTGATATGAATTTTTATTGGGGTCATATCATTTCTACGCTCTAATTTTTTTAATCATTGATTTAATGTTTGATTTTTGATTTAATATAAATCAATCTTTGTAGTTTATTGAGTTAAAAGAATTACAAGAACCTGAGTTATGCTAAATTAAAAATTATATAAAAGATAATAAGGATTGAATTGTTTTGTTAAAGTTCAAGGAACGAATATTAAAAAGTTCAGAAATCAAAGTTATATTTTCCATTGTTTTTTAATTATATAATATACCTCCCATTTTTCATGGACAACTTATTAGTCTCTTTATTACAGAGAAGGAATATGTGGGAACATCACGGGGGCAAGATTTGGATTAGAGAGGCATAGGGTTCCCAAATCTTGATTTCTTTTTTGGTTCCCAACCTTGAAAGAGAGAAAGTTACATTATTTCTATTAATTTTTGAATAAGCATACTAAACATTATAAATAGGAAGACAAAATAATCAAAGCTTTATATTTAATATCGGAGGGAGTATCATCAACGGAAGAGTATAATCAAATTAAAGGTTAATATCATCTCGTGATTTTCTCACTATAGTCCATATAAGTTGTGATAAGTGATCAATATCTAACTTTCAATTTTATATATATCCTCTAGTGCCCCATTATTTATATTCCATGTGATCCTTATTATCACAGCCTCGAATATGTTTCGTGATATAACATATTTTGTCTAAGGTATTAAATTTTTCACCTAGTATCCTTAACTAGTAATAAAACTAACTAATTAACCAAACTTTTTTAACAAATGACTTTTATTGAGAGGAATTTAGTATTTATACATTTTAATTTTGATTTTTTTAAAAATAATTGCCATTTTAAAAATTCTTCCCAATAAATATCATTCGCTCTAAATTTTTTGTTCTAATTTTTGTTAAAAATGTTGACTAAATTAGTTTGGTCCCTAGTGATTTAACTTCAATAAATTAAAGTTAACTTGTAATATGTGGCAGTTTAAAAAAATAATCAACTTACTAAAAATTATATATATAAAGGGCAACTATTGTTCACAATTACTTTAATAATGAAAAGGTTGACATCTATTTTCCTAGAACAAAATAACCATACTGTAAAAAATTCAACCTCCGTACGTGTTTCTATTTTTATTTTTTTTCATTATTTAGATTTATGAATCCTATGCTCGTCAAATTATCAATGTAAATGTTTTGAACAATATGCATGTAACAATTAACTTCTCCTCCAATCATTAATATAAGACCTCCAATCTTTAATATAGAACCTAATTCTTAAGTTAATTTTGATCCTAAATATAATATCTATTTCTTATATTTATCAATTTTTCCTAAGTTATCCATATATATATATATTCCCTTGACCATAATCATCTAAGTGAGGGAAGGAAGATATTAAGAAAGATGATTATGGTGTTTTAGGAAAAATATGTCATATTTCTTATAATTAACTAACTTACCTAACTTTCTTAATTTAATCAAATTAATAAAATAGGTTTTATATTAAGAACCAGAGAAGTGTAACAAATGTGATAAGATCAAAGCTAACAAAAAGTTAAATGTTGTCTCTCGTACAAAAAACAACACACATGTAATAAAAGCTATATCATATTGCAAAATTCTTCAACTTGACAATCCCATCTGCAATTTGACGCATGTTTGGATTATTCTCATCCTCATCTTCTGTCATCAAAGACCAACTTTCAATTTATAGTGCATGGAACATTTTTACATAAACGCTCTCTTACTGCCACCACAAGACTAGCACGCATAATATTTCACCTCAAATAGCAAGCAAATTCTACAACAGCATTCCTACAAATAAAGACACACTTCTAATTCCTTAAAGCTTTCAAGTATCCCAAAGGTTCCTCAGATTCTTTTGTCCTTAAAATTCTTGTTGTGTCACTGCTCATCAGAACAATCATGGCAAAGGCATACATCGATCTTGTATGTCCATTTTAAGCAGCCCTACGTACCAAATCCGACCCCTTCTTGTAAAACTCCAAGTCAGTGAAGTATGTCACACCTCCTTTATTACCATTTTATACATCAATTGGAATTATTTTAATTCATTTATCATGGCTCAATAATGAAAAATTTCAAGATTATAATTCTCCTTTTACATGCTGTCTATACACTGTTCACAGTTTTCTGGGCTAACTTTGAAAATTCATAACTAATTCTAGAAAAATAAAAATAAAGTGGTTCCAATTTTTATGTGAAACTTGATAAGATTTATTTAAATAAAAAATATTCATTGGCCTCAATTCCATCCAAGACAGCACCAGAAAATTCGACAAAGTGTACTGTTCATATAGTCAATTTTCAAATTTTCAGTATTTTAACCTAACTTTGGAAGGGCATAATTCTTAGTACAAAAATCCAAATTTAATGGTTTACCACTTGACTTAAAGCTAAAAATGAGATCTATGTGTCTGCAAAATTTCAGGTCCATATTCTACCATTAGCTCATTATTTTATGTGGTACAAGTTTAACCTTATTTAGGGTATTTTTATCCCCTATTCACCATTTTGTTGAATTTTGTTCTCCCTTTTCTTTTTCCATACCTTTAGGCATTCCACCATTTCGTATTCAAACATTAGGGCATGACATAAAAATATAATTTACATC